AAAGTCCTTTAAATGTTGAGGGCAAGACTTTTTCCTTTTACACTTAAATCCAGTTCTAGAAAAATATGTGAGTGCCAGCACACTAAAGCTTGCTGATCTTCTAAAATGCTAGGAGCAAAGCCCAGTGATGTGCCATTCAGTTCCCATTCTGCTGCTGGGAAACTGAATGAATGCACACCCAGCAGGAGGACACGATGGCATTCCCTCAACTGCCATTCTTAGGTGCTGCCTACTCCAAGCAATGCCACCAGGAGGATCTGCAGTGCTTCCAATGATTCAGAGCCTCCTTGGAATAGTGTGCTAGAACTGCATGTGCATATTTAATACAGGCACTTAAACTAATGAGACCCAAGCAAGGTAGAAACATTGAGAAGGTCTGCTTTTCATTAGAGAGGTGGCAGTTGCTCCATTTAGTCTCATGGAGTACCTAATAAACAAAACAATTGCTTCTGTGGGTCGGTGCCTCGACAGGCCCAGTGAAGTCATTTCTGGGTTTTGGTGTTCAGAAAATTCCCCCAGGTCTGTATCCAACAATCTCAGCAAGCTGGAGACTGAGGAGGGCCAATGGTACAGCAGCCGAGTCTGGTGGAGAGCAAAGGAGGACAGCCAGAAGAGCGAATTTCCCTTCCTCTGCCTTTGGTTCCATCTGGGACTTCTGTGGATTGGGTGCCCCCAACCCCTGCGTTGGTGGGGACAGTCTTCTTTACTCAGTTCACTGATTCAAATATAAATCACCCAGAAACATTCTCAGGACACACCCAGAAAGAACCTTGAGCCAAATGGCTGGGCATCTCATGGCAGAACCCTCAGTGTCCTTTTTCATGTCCTTTGGGCCAGAAATTTGGACATCCTGTTTGGGTTTTAGCTATTGACCCCATGACTGGGGGTTTGGAGGAAGAGGAGGGAAGCCAGGGGTTGAGAAGGTGGAGGGAGCAATGCGAGTGGGTGGGGGAGAAAGAGGAAACCCGTCTCCATGTGGGTCACTTATTCAGGCTACAACTTTCTTTCTCAGTTTTTATTGAGTTTTCTAAATCCTCAGCTAGTTGTTTTTTTTTTTTTTTCAGTTTGCCAAATGACCACATTGTAGGTAGATTTTATATAGCCTACTCTTTTCTATTGGATTAAACAAGGATCCTCTTCATCTCCCAATATGTGTGTGTGTGTGTGTGTGTGTGTGTGTATTTCCTATATAAAGGAAAGCTTATAACCCAAGGACACAGAAATACATCATTAAATGAAGACAGTTTGTTGGCATAAAATTTAAAAATTGAAAGTTATTGATACTTGGAATTTTCCTAGAACACCAAGCATTTCTACCTTAAATTTATATTCTTTTCTAAGAAATGTCTAGGCATACTGCCATTTTTTCCAAGGATTCTAGGAATAATTTTCAGATGATGAAGTTTCCAAGAACAGAAGCCAGTCCTTTAACTAGTAGCACCCTGCCCATTTCTTGGCAGCTACTGAATAGACTTTTGGGGACAGCTGACCTATCACACCAAAATCCAGTCACAGTGTGGCGGCAGCTCTAGGATAATCAACTCAGAACTCTTTAGTACATTTCACTGTTAAATGGTTGACACATTCAGTGCATAATAGCTCTCATTTTTATATTTTCTCATTTACATTTTCCTTAGTAAGAATGAAAGTACTCTACTGGTTTGGTGGAAGATTTAGAGGGAGCCGAAACTCATGGAATATGATTTTCTGAAAGGACTGGAGTGGGCAACAGTGCCTCCTGGGGTGGATGTGAGAGATCTCTTTAGCCTGGGGCAAATTTCTCCCCAGATCCTGGATTTCTTGGAAGCCGCACCAGCAGCTAAGCATGCCTCACTGCTCCAGGGGGCCGATTGTAGATCTGGTTAGCAGGAAAAACTGCACTGTGCAATCTGCCCTCCTCCTGCAAGCAGGTGAGGCTGCTACAGGTGGCGCCTTGTCTTGGTGGCTGACCTCCTCCTGCACAGAGAATTAATCTTCCATGACACGGATGAAGGATGCTTCAGAAACTGTTTCACAGATCAAATTGCCCTGCGTGTTCCCCCAAGATGATTCCAAGTCGTGTATCACAATGATGTTGACAAATAAAGCTGCGACTTCCCAGGAACAAGCTGTCAGTTTGGTACCTACCAGAATAAGTGTACCTAACCAAAGTAAAAGCTATAATATTATTGCCCAACGAAGAAGCTAGTGACTCTAAGCTAATTAAAGATGGGCCCTATTCAGAATGGTAGTTTATTAAGTTGATTCAGTACAATCAATGAACACATGTAGGCTTTCCAAGAGTGTGTATGTTGTGCTGTGTGTGTGTGCCTGTGTCTGTGCATCTCTGTGCGTGTGGGTAGGTGTGATTTCTGTGAGTCTGTGTGGGTTGTGTGCATGTGTGCCTGTGTGTGCAAGTGAGTCTGTGTGTGTGGGAGGGTATGTGTATGTGCATGTGTTCATGTTTGTGTCTGTGTGTCAGTGCAGTGTGTAAGTGCATGTGTGCACATGTGTATGTGTGGTGTCTCTGAGTCTGTGGGGGGGTTTATGTATGGTGTCTGTGTGTTGTCTGTGCATGGGTGTGAGTATGTGATGTGTGTGGGGTGCACGTGTTGTGTTTGCATGTGTAGTGTATTCCTGTGTGTGCTTGTGTGGTTAGAGTAAAGAGTGATGCTGCACTTGGCAGTTTGGCAGCATTTGCAAATGGCTGCTCCAGTCCTCCTGGGTGCTGTGCAGGGAGCATGGCCCTTGGTGTGCGCGTGCGGTGAGGCGAGGAGCCTGGCAGGCACTGGCAGGCCGCAGAGGCCATTGGCAGCTCCAGGGTCTGGCAGGTGAGGCGGGCTCCAGTGCACAAGTGTGGCCTGGTCCTCCAGCCTTGGAGCCTCGCAGATGTGGGGCCTGGGCTGAGCACGGTGTTGCAGCTGGCAGACACCACAGCAGGCCCCAGAAGAGTGACTGGACCGAGGCCTCGGTGAAGGGAAGTGCGGGGAGCGGCCAGGAAGGAATCAGAGACCCGCGGGACGATGGCGGCGGAGTGGTGAGCGGCCATGGGCCAGGGTGGACAGGCTGGGCGCCGCTGGACGCTGGTGTGTGCAGGGAGAAGGCCATCTGAGAGGCCAGCCACCCTCAGGAGGATGCGCCAGCCATTGTTGGGAGGCCTGCGTGTGTCAGATGCGGAAGCTGCTCTCTGCTTTACACACGGCCTTTCCAAACCGAAGGCTGTGGTTGCATCCAGGTTTCCTGGATGCATGGACAGAGGCCGCCGAAGTACCATAGGGGAGAGTTAGAAACACCGCAGGTCTTGTGCGTGATGCCCCTTGGTTCTTGAACAATCCTAGGTTAAATGCAGAAGTAGTGACATACCTCTCTATCTTTTCGTTAAAACTCATGAAATGCATCTCTGGGGAATGGAATTGTTGGCCTTGTCTGGGAGCCTTGTGCAACCTGAGTGTTCTGTGGTTTGGAGAAGGTGGGAGGAGAGGAATTGTAAGAGGTAATATGATGATGTGTTGCTGCTTGGGCTACTTTCAGCCATTTTTCTGTGTTTGGGTCCTTTCGTTTTACTATTTATATAGTGTATATAGTGGACAAATGACTCCTAATTTTGTGACACCTAGTTTCTAGATGTTCAAGAGGTTGCCAGTGTATGACAAGGTAGTAAAATTCACATATTTTATATAATTGCTGTTGACATTCATGGGAAAGCAAGTCCTCTGTAAGTGACTTTTGGATGAAAGTTTGTTACGCCATCTGTAAACATTGCATGTGCTAATACTTGTCCACAGGATGGAGGGCAGGGAGGGAAGTGAGGAGGGAATGGTTCCAGACCAAAATGGTCACATTTAGAAGCTACTTCAGAGGTCATTTTTGTTGTCAGTTTGTTTCCCATGAGTATTGGTCATGTATTTCTGTTTGTCTTTCCCCCACTTGGCTGATGGTTTTCGTTGTGGGGGCTTTGGGGGGATTTGAAAGTAGAGCAGATGTTTCTAATTCTGTGTTGTCGCAACTTGGGATTCTGATTTTCCTCACTGAGGTCATGGTTGTTGCTTGGTCTTTCTATATTGTTGTTATTTGGGGTTGTTTCATTTTCTTCTGTTGGCGACACACCTGGACACACTGTGCTATGTCCCTCTGTGACAGTGAGCCACTCACCTCTCCTCTCTGTTCTGACTTGTTCCATAGCCCTGTCACCGTCCAGTCTCACAGCCTGGGCCTGCATACAGTTGCACCCTCCTCAGATCCTGCACAGTTAGCACCTAGGGCTCCCAGATGCCAGGTAGCTTGGGGAGGGGGGATGATCCATGGTTTTTCCCAGAGTGCCCACTGTGGGTAGGGACAGTGTGGTGTGGTCCTGGACACCTCCACAAACACAAGAACCTGCCCAATTCCCACTGGCTCAGCTGCCTCCCTCAAGCTCCATAGGCAACGTGCCCACCCCAGCCCAAACCCTGTGGAAAAGTTGAGAAAACCTTGAAGAAAATCACCATGGGTTTCAAAGTCTTTCAAAAAACTAATTCCCCTAACCACTGACCTCCCTGCAGCTTCTGGCTCTGAGCTGTGATTCTGCACATGGTTGGCCTGGTGCTTAAAATGGTCTCGGTGCAGCAGCAGAGGGGATCCACCCCGAGGTTCCCAGTCCCACGATGGGCAGGGACTCAGTATTGTGTCAGCGACCATGGCCACTGGATTTCAGGCAAGGAGGGGCCCAATGCTTGGCCAGGTGTCAGGCACAGAGCAGCAGTCCATGCAGGGAGTCATCCCCAAAACCAGGGACACTGCACAGACTCCCATTTGCAGCCACAGTGCGTCTCAGCCTAAACCATGGGCAGTCTTGTCAGTGGGGGTGGTTCCTGGCCTGGCCTGGTTTCTCTCCTGTGTTGTGGACACCACTGCCTGCACCATCCAGGCCAAACATACCTGGGCTCCTCCTGTCACAGCCCCATCCGTGGGCACTGGGATATGGGCTGTCACAGCTCAGATCACAGTGAGAGATGGTGACACGGTTCCCCAGACAACAAGGTTTAACCCACTGGGAGAAAGGCCGCCCTGTCCATGCAGAAACTGTGTGAGTCCTCATTCAGGATCCAGAGGCTGAGGAGCTGGGAACTCGTGGAGTGCTCAGGGAACCACATGCATCTCATTTCACCTGGATCCATGGGGCCCTGTGGGGAGGGCTGTGAGTCCACGTCACAGACGAGAACACTGAGGCTCCAGTGAGGACACCAGCCACTCTGCCTACCCTCAGAACCCGTGTCCCTAGCCATGAGGGAGCACTGACCCAGCCCATGGCTGCGCCCATGGTTCCCCTGGATTTCTCACTCTACTGGGCAGTCAGTGAACCCTGGACACACAGGGGCTTCCTCCTCCCGCCCCAGGAAGCGGCGGGTGCCCCCCAGGTCCTTGTGTGCTCGGCGTGGGGCTCCCTTGTGCAGCAGGGAGAAGGTGGCTGCACATCACGGGTGGGGACTCAATGCACTGGCATCCACACAGGAGCATGAAGAGAGCTATATTGGACTACATACAGAGGGGGACTTAAATAAACTGTCTGAGAGAGCAGGAGAGGGAGCTATAAATAAACTGATGGTGAGGGGAACAATGGCTCTGACTGGAGGTGGCCCTGGGAGGACCCAGGAGCTGAGCTGTGCAGAGCCGGGTTTGCTGCCACCACAGATGTTTCACTCGTGGCTGGGGCCAGAGCGGCGCCCCGATGAGGGATGGGGAAACAGCTTAGAAGGGTGCGCACCCAGCTGGGTGAACGACGGTGGGGACGGTCCTGATTGGAGATTGTGCGCTGCCCACGCCGGCGGCCCCAGGGCCAGCGCCGCTTCGTGAACCAGGGCTGGGGATGCTCTGGCTCTGGTTTGTCTTCTGGAGATGCAGGGGGCTCCAGGGCCTCCACAGCTGGCACAGTTGCCAGGGACAGACAGGCTTCAGGTGGCTCTGGCTGGGGAGCAGATGCCGGGGTTGCCACCAAATCTGACCCCAGAAGTGCAGCAGCCGCTGCGGGAGGCACCTCCAGGTCTCCTCCTGGTGCTGGAGCTGCAGGAGGAGAACATGTCATGAACACCACTGCCCGTTCCTGCTGCCCTTGCCAAGAGGGAGATGTCCCTGGCTTCCAGAAGAGCCCCAGCCCTGTGCCCACATCAGAGCCCTGGGCGGAAGGTGCTGCAGCCCTGGGTCTCTGAGCCTGGTCTTCACTCCAGCCAACACCAGCCTTGGAGCCTCCCTCCAGTGTGGGGCAGCCCCGAGACCTTCTCAGGCTCCCACGCACCCACCCCGGTCGTCCTCACCCTCGGGCTCCGCTTCAGCCTCAGCCTCAGCCTCCTGGGGCTCTGGATCCTCCAGCTGCATCAGGAGCAGCTGGGCTCGGCGTGCCAGGTCTGAGCTGGGCATCTGGAGCTGGACGTAGGCCAGCAGCTGATTCAGGCTGGCCAGGTCCTGAGGCTGACAGAAGTGCTCCGGGTAGCGGTCCCACCAGGTACCGAGGAAGGAGCAGAGGGCACTAGGGGTAGCAGGAGGTCAGCAGAGTCAGACACCTTCTGCCCACAGCCTCCCTCACCCCTGTGACTCTGGGTTCTGGGCTGAGGATACACGGCCTTGTTTGCAGGTGGGCATTGAGCGGCGGCGCATGTGTGAGCCGGCGGCTGCCTGCCTCCAGGCAGGCCCCTGAAATGGGAAGGGGTGGGCCAGCCTGGCTTGAGTTGTGCTGTGGATGAATTCTCACCGTTCCCCAGATGCCCAGGAACCCAGACAATTCTGTTCCCTGCTGTAGGCAACGTCACTGACCTCAGCCCTATAGCATTAATCACAGAAATGTAGGAGATGGGATCACGGTCAGCCCCCTAGTGGCACCCCCGTGTCCCTGCTGTGGAGAATGGAACCTCCCTCCTGACCCAAAGCCCACTCACTCCTTAGTGCGGTCGTCCTCTTCGCAGTGAGGCTGAAAGGATGCATACCTAGAGGAGGACAGGAGGTGTCACCTGTGGTGTCCTGGGTGCCACCTGCCAGGAGGTCTGGGGGAGGGGCTGAGCCCCTGACTACAAGGGAAGAAAAGCAGGGTAGAGACAGTGGTCTGTGCTGTGCACTGAATTTCATTAGCTCCTGGACATGTGGCTGCACACAGTGGGCACTTCATAGTGTTTGCAGTGTGAGCTTGTGAAGTCAGCCTGCTTGTCCCCAGGGGTCTACGTGGGCCTGGGCCCCTTTATCACCCTCTGGTGTCTCAGTTTGGGTCACTACCAGGACAGAGAACCACACATGGAATCTGGAAGGTTCTTTGTGAATAGGAAGGCTGCTTTGCCTGAGGCCACGGGTGGTGAGGCCTGAGGCCGCAGAGCCTCATTGTAGGGTGAACATAATGCTAAATGAGACCCCTGTCCTTGGCAGCCCACTCCTCCGGGAAGCACTTTCTGGAGCTCATCCCATTGGTCCCGAAATCACCAAGGGGCTTTTCCTCTGAGCACCAAAACTCTGCGTGAATGATTTACGACCACAGGCAGGGTCTGGGACATCACCAAGACCCAGTCGAGAGGTACTGAGTCATCCCATTCTTGCAGGTTCCGGCCCTCACCTTTGGAACAGCAGGTGCATCACCCGTTGGGTGGTGGTGAACCTTTGATAGATGTTCAGGAATGTGGGGACGAAGAAGGGGTCCCCTCTCTGCTGGGCAGGCACCAGCTGATTCACCAGCTTCTCCACCATGCCTGTGTCCAGGGTCCCAACCCTGCTGGCAGCCGTCAAGGAGGGCACCGTTCCCACGTCTTGTTCCTGGTGGGGTGCTGCACTTGGTTCAGCTGCTGGCCCCTCAGGGGCCTCCAGCGCCTCTGCAGCTGAAAGGTGGACTGCCCGGGGCAGCGATGGTTCAGCCGACTCTGGTTGGGGTGCCGCTGCTGTAGTTGGCGCTAGATCTAAGCACAGAAATGCAGGAGCAAATGCAGAGGGAGAAAATATCAACACCACAGCCTTTCCTGCTCCTTGTGGTCAACCAGGAGTTTCCTTGCCTTCCAGGGAAGCCCCAGCCCTGCCACAACAGGACCCTGCCCAGATGTGGTGAGCCCTGAGGGCTCTGAGCCTGGTCTTTGCTCCCAGACAACACCAGTCTTGGAGCCCCGTCCCAGTGTGGCTCTGCCCCAGTGCCCTCCAATCTCCCACGTACCCAAGCCCTCCTCACCTTTGGGCTCAGCCTCAGCCTCCTTGGGCTCGGGGTCCTCCAGCTGGGTCAGGAGCCGTTGGGCTCGGAGTGCCAGGTCCGAGAAGGGCATATGGAGCTGGACGTAGGCCACCAGCTGATGCAGACAGGTCAGGTCCTGAGGCTGACAGAAGTGCTCGGGATAACGGTCCAGCCAGGTTCCCAGGAGGGAGCACAGGGCACTGGGGACAGGCAGGCGGGCAGCAGAGTCAGACGTCTCCTGTCTACACCCACCCTCGCCCCTGTGACTCTGAGATCTGGGCAGAGGATGCTCAGCCCTTGTGCAGGTGGACAGAGAGGGGTCATGTGTAGCCCGATGCTCCCACCTCCTCTCGGGTTCTTGAGATGGGAAGGATTGGGCCAGCCCTTCTGAGAAGGGTTGTGGTAGGGACAGATTCCCACTGCTCTCAGGATGCCCAGGAACCTCGTGTGTCTCTCAGGTTCTTCAGGTAACACGCCTGACCTCAGACTTCAAGTGGAAAACACAGGAAGGGTGCAATCCTGGGTCAAGGTCAGCCCCCCAGTTGCACCCCATGTCCCTGCTGTGGATATTAGAAACCTCCCTCCTGACCCAAAGCCCACTCACTCCTTAGTGCGGTCGTCCTCTTCACAGTGAGGCTGAAAGGATGCATACCTAGAGGAGGACAGGAGATGTCACCTGTGGTGTCCTGTGTGCCACCTGCCAGGAGGTCTGGGGGAGGGGCTGACCCCCTGACTACAGGGGAAGTAAAGTAGGACAGATAGAGTGGTCTGTGCTGTGCGCTGTCTTTTGCTAAGTTCCTGGGTATGTGCCTGCACACAGTGGGCACTTTCTTATGTTTGCTCTGTGGGTGAATTGAGCTCCTTCTTAGGTGTTGAGAGGTCTGAATCCCCTCCAGCAGCCCCTAGGGGTCCTATTCAGGCCATTATCAGGACAGGGTCCCCCAGAGGGATCTGGAAGGTTCTTTGTGAACAGCAAAGCAGCTTTGCCTATGGCCATGAGAGATGAAGCCTTAGGTCCAAGGCTGTTTCATGAGCATGGGAGGAAATCTCTAAATCAGACCTGCTGGGCAGCCTATCCCCTCAGGACCAGGCTTAGAAAGAACTTTATCACTCTGGGAGACACTCCCCCGCTCACCAAGTTGCTGCAAGAACACACTGAGGCCCTGAAGGGGAGCAGGGTGTCACCAAGTTCCAGCCAAGGGTGGCGCATCGCCCCTGCGCCTGCAGGTGCAGGTCCTCACCTTTGGAACAGCAGATGCAGCACCTGCTGGGTGGTGGTGAACTTGTGATAGATGAGCAGGAATGCAGGGACGATGAAGCGGTCCCCTCTCTGCTGGGCAGGCACCAGCTGACTCACCAGCTTCTCCACCTTGCCTGCCTCCTGGGTCCCCACGCTGCTGGCAGGTGACGGGGATGGCACAGGTTCCACTGTTGCTGGTTCCTCAGGTTCCAGGATTGGTCCTGGCCCCATCTTAGCTGCTGCCATCTCGGCTGGGGCTGGCTCCACTGGAGCAGAATCAGCTGCTCTTGGCGAGGGCTCCCCCTCCAGCCTGCTTGCCACCATGGTCCCCACTCCGCTGGTGTCCTCCAGGGGTGTGGCAATGTCACTGTCATTCTGGGGCGAGACAAGGAGGGTGGTTGTAATCCTGGCCCTGATGTTCTGCCCCCACCCTCCTGCGGTTGTCATGGGACCACCAGGTCCCCATCCCACCCCCCGTCCCTTCCCATGGGCCACTCACCTCCCCAAACTACCCCCTCCACACCACCCAAGATGGATGCAAGGACACCCAGGAGGATCAGCGGGGGAGGTCTTCCCAGGGGTCCTGGCCTGGCTGGCTGAGATCACCTTGGTTTCCCTCTGAGAGAATTGCCAGAGCTGCTGTGGGCGAGGGCTGACCCAATGTCTGTAGCTCTGGAGAATATCCGCAGCCTGGGGCTGGCCCCGGCCTGGGCCTTGGGATGTTGGGAGACAACACGAGAACATATCTGCTCGATGGCCTCTGACCAACTGAACTGGCTGGGTCACCAGCACCACATTGTGGGTGCCTGGTAACCGGGGTTCCAGGTTCTGTTGTGGCCATCGTCAAGGAAGTGAGGTCACTTCTTGAAGTCCACTTAGCTGACCTCCCCTAAGGTTCTGTGGGCTGCTGACTGCCACCCTCCCTCCCCGCCCCCCCCCCCCCCCTTCCCGGGACAGATGCCGTGTGCACACCTGCACACGGTTATGCCAGTATCACCCATCAGCTCCCTGAGGGAGGCCTGGGCCAGCCAGAGCCCACACTGGAAAGTCTTAGACCTGTTGCAAATACAGGGTTTTTTTAAGCTGAGTAGTATTCCACAGTGTAAATACACCAGAATTTCTTTATCCAGTCAACAGTTGATGGACATCTGGGTTGAGTCCATATCTTAGCCATTGTGCATTGAGCCACAGTGAACATTGGGGTGCAGATCACTCTTTCACCTTCTGAATTCCTTTTCCTTTGGATAAACTCCCAGGAGCGGGATGGCTGGGTCATATGGTAGGTATATATTCAGACTTCTGAGGTATGTGTCTTCAACAGTGGCTGCACCAAGTTACATTTTCGCAAATAATGGATTAGGATACCCTTTCAACCACATCCTTGCCAGCGTTTGTTGTTTGTTGATTTCTGTATGAAAGCCATTCTAACTGGGATGAGGTGAAACCCAATGATGGGTTTGATGTGCAGTTGCCTGTGGCTAGTGATCCTAAGGATTTTGTATGTGTCTGTTGGCCATTTGATGTCCCTCTCCTGAAAAATGTCTGTTCAGATTTTTGCCCATTTCGTAAGTGAATTGTTTTGTTGTTTCTGAGTTTCTTGAGTTCTCTAGCCATTCTAGAAATCAATCTTTTATCAGTGCATAGTTTGCAAACCATTTCTCCCACTCTATAGGTTGCCTCTTCACTTTGCTGAGCATCTTTTTGCAGTGCAGAAGCTTCTCAATTTGGTATAATCCCATTTGTTAATTTTGGCTTTGCTTGCCTGTGTCTCTGGGTCTTTTTCAAGCACTCTTTGACTATATCAATGTGCTGCAGGGTTTCCCCAGTGTTTCTAGTAATCTGAAGGTATTGGGTCATAGCTTTAGGTCTTTGATCCACTTTGAGTGGATTTTGTGTAAGGTGTAAAGAAGTGGTCTGCTGCCTACTTCTGCATGTGGAGATCCAGTATTCCCAGCACCACTTTTTGAAGAGATTGTGTTTGCTTGAGGGATTGATTTTAGCTCCTTTGTCAAAGATCAGTTGGTTATAGATGTGTGGATTGATTTCTGGAGTTTCTTTTCTGTTTCATTGGTCTGCACATCTGATTTTGTGCCATTACAGGCTGTTTTGATTATTATTGCCCTGTGGTATGTCTTGAGCACTGGTATTATGGTGCCTCCAGCTTTGTTTGTGTTGTTTCAGATTGCTTTATCTATTTGGAGTCTCTTGGGTTTCCATATGAATTTGTGCATCATTTTTTTCTAGATCTGAGAAGAATGTTGTTCCTGTTTTTTTTTTGGAATTCCATTTAGTGTACACTTCACTTTTGAAAAAAGATTTATATTTTTATTTGAAAGGCAGAGAGAGAGAGTGAAAGAGTGAGAGAGAGAGATGGAGAGAGATGGAGAGAGAGAGAGAGAGAGAGAGAGAGATCGTCCACCTGCTGGTTCACGCCCCAGATGGCTGCAATGGCTGAAGCAGGGCTGAAGGAAAACCAGGATCCAGGAGCTTCTTCCAGATCTCCCATGTGAGTGCAGGGACCCAAGGATTTAGGCCATCTTGTATTTCTTTCCCAAGCCATATCAGAGAGCTGGATCAGAAGTGGAGCAGCTGGGCCTTGAACTGGCATCAGTATGGGATGCAAGCACTGCAGGCAGTGGCTTTACCTCTACCCCACATCGCCTGCCCCAGCTTTCAGTAGAATGGACATTTTGATGTTATTTATGCTTCCAATTCATTAATTTGAAAGATTTTCCACTTTTTAATGCCTTCTTCTATTTCTGTGTTTAATGTTTCGTAATTTTCATCGTAAAGTTCTTTGATGTCCTTGTTTAAATTTATTCTATGATATTTTTTTAACTTATAAACAACAGGAATTTATTTCTCACAGAGCTGGAGGCCGAGAGGTTCAAGATCAAGGTGTCAGCAAGTTTGGTGTCTCCTGAGGGTCTGGTGGCTGGTTCCAAGTTGGTGCCTTCCTGTTGAGTTTCCCAAGATGATCACTATGTCCTCACAAGGCAGAAGGGACAGGGGGCAAAAAAGGGCCCAGATGGTTCCCTCCAACACTCCCATAAGGCTACTAATCCCCTAAGTCACCTCATAAAGGCCCAACCTCTTAATGTTATCACATTGGCTATTAAGCTGCAACATATGCACTTTGGGGGACACATGCAGACCACAGCAGACACAGTGTGGAGAAGAAGAAAATAATTCATAGGCTTCCCAGCAGGAACCTATAGGTTTTTCAGGTTTTTACCTTTAAAATGACAGACAATGCCTGATCACTTAGGGCTTGATTATCTGGTTATGGACTCCCCTCAGTACCTTTTTTTTTAACTTTTATTTAATGAATATAAATTTCCAAAGTACGACTTATGGATTACAATGGCTTCCCCCCATACCGTCCGTCCCACCCGCAACCCTCCCCCTTCCCACCCCCTCTACCCTTCCATTCACATCAAGATTCATTTTCGATTATCTTAATATACAGAAGATCAGTTTAGTATACATTAAGTAAAGATTTCAACAGTTTGCTCCCACACAGAAACATAAAATGAAAAATGATAGATGATTTTTTAAATGATGATGAAATCAGATCAGACCTATTGTCATGTTTAATCCCAGTGAGAGTGAAGTTGGGAATTGATAATTTCTTTTTTTTTTTTTACAGAAGATCAGTTTAGTATGCATTAAGTAAAGATTTCAACATTTTCCACCCGATAGAAACACAAAGTGAAATATACTGTTTGAGTACTCGTTATAGCATTAAATCTCAATGTACAGCAACATTAAGGACAGAGATCCGACATGAGGAGTAAGTGCACAGTGACTCCTGTTGTTGACTTTACAAATTGACACTCCTGTCTATGGCATCAGTAATCTCACTATGCTCCAGTCATGAGTTTCCAAGGCTATGGAAGCCCTCTGAGTTCTCCGACTGTTATCTTGTTTAGACAAGGTCATAGTCAAAGTGGAGGTTCTCTCCTCCCTCAGAGAAAGGTACCTCCTTCTTTGAAGCCCTGTTCTTTCCACTGGGATCTCATTCACAGAGATCTTTTGCCAGAGTGTCTTGGCTTTCCATGCCTGAAATACTCTCATGGGCTTTTCAGCCAGATCTGAATGCCTTTAGGGCTGATTCTGAGGCCAGAGTGCTGTTTAGGACATCTTCCAATCTATGAGTCTGCTGAGTATCTCGCTTCTCATGCTGGATCACTCTCCCCTTTATTTATTCTATCGGTTAGTGTTGGCAGGTACTAGACTTATTTATGTGCTCCCTTTGACTCTTAGTCCTTTCATTATGATCAATTGTGAACTGAAATTGATCACTTGGAATAGTGAGATGGCATTGGTACATGCACCTTGATGGATTGAATTGGAATCCCCTGGTATGTTTCTAACTCTACCATTTGGGGCAAGTCAGCTTGAGCATGTCCCAAATTATACATCTCTTCCTTCTCTTATTCCCACTCTTATGTTTAACAGGGATCACATTTCAGTTAAATGTCAACACTTAAGAATAACTGTGTGATAATTACAGAATTAACCAGTCATATTAAGTAGAACAGACAAAAAAACTACTAAGAGGGATAATGTATTAAGTTCTTCATTAACAGTCAGGGCTATGCTGATCAAGTCACCATTTCTCATAGTGTCCATTTCACTTCAGGAGGTTTCCTTTTTGGTGTTCAGTCAGTTGTCACCGATCAGGGAGAACATATGGTATTTGTCCCTTTGGGACTGGCTTACTTCACTCAGCATGATGTGTTCCAGATTCCTCCATTTTGTTTGCAAATGACTGGATTTCGTTGTTTCTTACTGCAGTATAGTATTCTAAAGAGTACATATCCCATAATTTCTTTATCCAGTCTACCGTTGATGGGCATTTAGGTTGGTTCCAGGTCTTGGCTATTGTGAATTGTGCTGCAATAAACATTAGGGTGCAGACCGCTTTTTTGTTTGCCAATTTCATTTCCTTTGGGTAAATTCCAAGGAGTAGGATGGCTGGGTCGAACGGTAGGGTTATATTCAGGTTCTGAGGAATCTCCAGACTGACTTCCATAGTGGCTTGACCAGTTTGCATTCCCACCAACAGTGGGTTAGTGTCCCTTTTTCCCCACATCCTCGCCAGCATCTGTTGTTGGTAGATTTCTGTATGTGAGCCATTCTAACCGGGGTGAGGTGAAACCTCATTGTGATTTTTGATTTGCATTTCCCTGATTGCTAGTGACCTTGAACATTTTTTCATGTGCCTGTGGCCATTTGGATTTCCTCTTTTGAAAAATGTCTATTGAGGTCCTTGGCCCATCTCTTAATTGGGTTGTTGGTTTTGTTTTGTGGAGTTCTTGATCTCTTTGTAGATTCTGGTTATTAACCCTTTATCTGTTGCATAGTTTGCAAATATTTTTCCCATTCTGTCGGTTGTCTCTTCACTCTCCTGACTGTTTCTTTTGCAGTACAGAAACTTCTCAATTTGATGCAATCCCAATAGTTGATTTTGGCTTTGACTGCCTGTGCCTCCCGGGTCTTTTCCAGAAATTCTTTGCCTGTGCCAATATCTTGAAGGGTTTCTCCAATGTTCTCTAATAACTTGATGGTGTCAGGTCGTAGATTTAGGTCTTTAATCCATATTGAGTGGATTTTTGTGTAAGGCGTAAGGTAGGGGTCTTGCTTCATGATTCTGCACGTGGAAATCCAGTTTTCCCAGCACCATTTATTGCATAGACTGTCCTTGCTCCAGGAAATGGTTTTAGATCCTTGATCAAATATAAGTTGGCTGTAGATGTTTGGGTTGATTTCTGGTGTTTCAATTCTGTTCCATTAGTCTATCCATCTGTTTCTGTACCAGTACCATGCTGTTTTGATTACAACTGCCCTGTAGTATGTCCTGAAATCTGGTATTGAGATGCCTCCGGCTTTGTTTTTGTT